TTCCAACCGCGGTCGGCTAAAGTAACGGAAGTGCTGAGGAACCTCGACGGACTTTAATGGAATTACGCGTGAACCGCGTGAAAGTATTAAGGATCGATTATTAAAGCGAGATCGCGCGCCCCTTGCCGCGAATCTAACAAGGTCTCGTCCTCCCCCTCCGTCGCGGCTTCCCTTTATAGGTGTACAGCGCGGTGACTGCGGTAATTAATATAACAAAGGGTCGGGGGGCGTTAAAGGGACCGCATGTCGGGAACAATCTCGCGGCATTCTCTATCGGGGCGGCGCGGTCGCCTTCGCGCGCGCGACTCGAACTTGGCGGAAAGTTCGCGCTGAAAACTGCGGAAATTACCGGGCGCGGCCGACGTTAACTCGAAAGGAGTAACTTAATTACGCTCGAGCACGAATCGCCGTTGCAAACTTTTCGTTTGTGCCTGTGTGCCTTGTGCGCGCACGTGCGGCGGCTCCGCGCCGTGTATATACGTGTGTGCCGCGCTGCCGCGCGGGTGGTGGTAAAAGGGCTCTGCGGAGAATGCCCAAGGCAACGGAGATACTTCCTGCGAACTTTATGGGCAAAAATTCATTTTAAGCTCGCCATTATAGCGATAATGAGCCATGACAAGCCCTTAATTCGTAGCTTTGTTGCCGCGAATTAAGAGCCTGAATGTAGTATTATTATTTTCGTTACACCCTCTTCGTTATATCTTTTAGGTGTCGCGACTTCACGCCAAGTATTGTTTCGCCAAACATAACATTTTTGAAAATCAGCGTTAAAATAATCACGCGCGGGTAACTCTTGATATTAATGGATATTAATATTTAAAGGGCAAGCAAGGACGAGAGAAAGAGAGACTCGCGTGTCCAAGACCGGGGAGATACGGCCGAATATAATCGCGGGCGAGGGGCTTAATCGAAAATTAATCCGAGCCGCGCGCGGTGCTCGAAACTTTACGAAGGACACGATTCCATTATCGCGACGGACTGCTTTCGGGGTTATCTCGTACATGCCGTTCGCGCGAGACACGCTCGTTTCGATGTAAATTGAAAGCGGTCGGGTGGCGATCACAGGTCGGCACCGACCGCGGGAATAATTGCGAGATTAATCGGTCCCCGGGTTTCGCTCGATGGAGATATCACCGAGAAATTCCGTGTTTGATCCGCTCTTTGTTTTCTTTTTCAAATTTATGTTCTTTCGTGTCGGGTTGCGCCCGCGCCGCGGCCTCTCGCCGCCGCCGGTCGGGATTAATCGGCACGAGAGCCCTTCCGGTATAACGTCTTTCCACCTTTTCCCGTTCGTTACCGTTTGCCCTGTAAATACGACGTTTTCTGAAAAGCATTTGCTGAAAAGCATCGGCCAGATTTAATAAGCTTTTGCGTGCTGTTCGTTAGGATTTTAACGAAGCTTTCATCCGGCGCGGTGAAAGCCTCCCCTCCCCCCGCCCGGTGATCTCCGCCGCGAGTTGGCTAAACTTAGGCTGTTTTTTTTTATTTTTTATTTTTTAGTACGCGGATGCCTCGGTATTATATATGTTAGCATACTCCGGGGAAGTTTTAAGGTTCCGCCGGGCGTTCTTTCCGCGACTTTTATGACTGTTATATAACGAGCGTCGTCGGCCGATGTTAACGAAGTCTTTGTGGATCGACTCTTGGCCAATTAACGTCGTCGAGAAAGTCGAGCGCCTGCCGCAACTGAGACAATTCCTCGGGCGCATTTCGCATTAGACTCGTCGAACGAGAAGTTTAAACAAATTATTCTTGAAAGTTACGACACAGGAAATGCCTCGTGAGTCGCGGAATTAGTGCGCGCGCGCCGACCAAGGTACATCAACATTAGTAAAAACACGCTCTTATTTGCCTTTGTCTTTGTATGATATTCAAAGAAATTCCAGACGAACCAGACGACGATTCTTTTCGAGCCATCTCGTTAAATTCGTATTAAACTCTGTGTACGCCTCCGATATATATTATCGTCGCAGATGTATTTTGTGTGTACCAGAAATCCACGAGACAAGTTTAACACTTATTGTTAGTCCTTGTGTACCTTTCGATCGAAATAAAAATCCCCTTGTTTTTTGCACTTTGTGATAATTTTACGATATCTGAATCTCACTGCGGAAACTTGCAGAGGTTTTGTTGATCCACTGACAACCGGTGGAGAAGTTCCGGAGATGTTCGCAGGGATAATCGATCGAAGGGAACATCTCGCCCGCGGCTGCGAGGGGTAGAGGAGGAGGGGGGAGGGGGGGAGAGGTCGGGATAGCTCGTCGCCCTGATGAAATCCCCGAGAGCTCTTTTCATGCTAATAAGATTTCGCCGGTCGCGCCCAATGGATACGCGCCAAAGCGCGAGGGAACGGCATCGTCGTCGTCGTCGTCGTCGTCGCCGCCGCCGCCGCGTTCGACGCGATAGACACACCGAGAGGAAGAGAAACGTACAAAGGGATCGGGCGCCTCTCGGCACAGCCCCGAATGAGAGGGGAAGGGGAATCCCTCGACACGGTACTTTTGTCGGCGCGCTATAATTCGATATTTCGAGCGCGATGCCGCAGGTGAGAAAAATAATGAGTTTTTCTGTAAACGGATTTAGGAAACGCGTGGCCTATCCGACGAAATTAATTTTCAAGTCCATGCCGCGGACGAATGAAAAAAGTCTCCAAGTGTCCAAGACGAATTCTAAACAGACGTGCGTATCTAAGTGGCTAAATTGATAGAAGTGACGCGAATCGTTAAATATTATATTAGATATCGATGTCAGCTGTGTGAAGTTGGCCCCTCCAATACTGAAAATTCAAAAACGATCATTCCCACTCGGTTGTTTGATAGTATTTGATAGTCCATTCTCGATTATTAATAGTTAAAGTTGTAAATGATCCTATCTAAAAAAGTTAATATAAAAAAAGACATGTGCGCGTGAAGTTAGCCCCTTCTTTCGCAAAATATACTTTCCAGACTGCATAAGTAATCGTAACTGTAAGCATTCATTCCGTAGTCTATTTTCGATGATAATTGTAAAACTTATAATAATATAATAATACAAAAAAATACATATGTAAAGTTAAGTCCCTCTTTTTTATAATAGAAACGCACACGCGAATGGACTACCAAGAGTCAGTAGACGACCTCCAAACGCCATGCTTATGAAACAGTTATGATTATATTTATGCAGTTTGGAAAGTCACATTTTGCGAAAGGAGGGGCTATAACTTCACGCACGTATTTCATATTATTATTTACAACTTTGACTATCAATCATCGAGAATAGACTATCAAATACTATCAAATGACCACCAATCGAGTGGTAATGATCGTTTTTGAATTTATAATAATGAGGAAGGGGGGGGGGGCAACTTCGCACAGCTATCGACATCCGCGGAAAGTTTCGGCGAATGTGTATTAAATATAAATATTAGTTATACCGAAATGTATATCTCGCGCGCGTGTGATTCCACTAATCGTTTAGTCAAGAATGCCGGGAAATGGATGACACTCGCGTCGAACGTGCTACCACGTCACCCGATATTTTCCTGCAATCCGTCGAGGCTTTATCGCGCACTTGCACGAGTAAATCCGCGTCTTCCCTGATGAATGCCGACGCCGCGCCGGTATCGTGTGCATACTGCATACGCGATCGCATCCCATTTCGACTGGCACACATTGTCGTGTTAAATGGAAACCTGCCGACGCGACGAGACGCGACGCGACGCGCACTGGTCTCCGGTGAATTCGACGAAGTGCACCGTCCGTCCGTTCGCTCGATCGATCTGAAGGTATTGTCCGGCGAGGAAAGTCGAGAAATGAGGAAAATGATAAACGAGAACTGTGGGAACGATTCGCGATATTGCGAGACGCGGTGCCCGGCATCGCATTCTCGCCCGCTATAAAATGATAAATTAAATCGCAGTTGTAAATGCGCGCCGGATTATAAGTTCCTCGGCGTTCGTCGTGATATTATTAATTTTTTACGCTATAAGGTATTTTACATAAATGAATGAGAGGTCGACTGTGACGTAGCGGACTTTGAGGAAACAGGTTTCGTTTTACAAACGGAGATAAAAAAAATTGATAAAAAATATGGAAAATTATACAAAATGGGTATTTTTATGAAATGCGAACATTTCGCTTCCGCCCGCGTTCGTCAGTTAATTTAAATATTGAAGAATCTTTCAAATTTATACACGTATATTAAAAATATATGGTGTAGCTTTATTATTTTATTATTTGCGTAATATTTCAAAATAAAACAAAAACATACTATTTTGAATCCCGTTTACATCCCGTTGTTTGCACATTGCGAATGCTAAAATCAGATATGTTTGTCCACACTCTATATCTTGAGTCTAGTTTCCCGAGATTTTCTCGGGAAGAAATAACACCGTTCTGCCTCCCTCCACTACGAAAGAAGAGCACTTTATGTCGTTATTGAACAAACAACGATATGTACTTAATACGAGCTCGTTCACGAAAGCGTGACTACGCCTATGTATGGTAACGCTCGACGTACAAACTCTCTACATACGGGGACTGTTTATCCATTGGAACCAGCGTGACATATCGATCCAACATCGAACGCTTGTACTGTACATAATTCGTCTTCATTAGTCACCAGTACCTCTATCTATCGATGCACACAGTTTACAGGCATATAATCTCTATTCTGCTCTACATACATATACACATATAAACATTGTAGTAAACAATATAGCACATTAGTATATAACATAATAAATATATATGTCATATATTTTTAAACACACGTTATACAATATATATTATTATATTTTTCAATGTGCTATATAATTATATAATTTAACACAATATTTCCTTTTATATTATATAATTTTATCATTTTTATTTTTTTTCCTAAAAAAAGTAAGATTATTTTTGTTCCACATCGGTAGATGTGGTTTTTTAGTCACCTTTAGTGTTCACGGCGTATCACGTCCGCCGAATCCCTCTCGAAGTACCGCACGTTCCCTCACGTGTCGTGAATTTCTGCTGTTACAGACGGAGCTGTCGCAAAATCTACAGCAGCTGTCGGAGAGGGCCCGCTCGACGACGGAGTTCATTCAAAGGCTCAAAGGAATGACGGATAAAGTACATGTGAGTACACGCGCGCCTTTGGCGACCGTTTTAAATTCCGTGTCGACGGGCGCGTCAACGCGGTACGATGCCGTGAAATTGCGAAAAGATATGGCGTTAATTACATCGGCTCTCCGCGGGACAGAATATCGGCGCGGATTCATCTCTGTGATGGCCGAAGGGATAATTTGGACGTACAAAGGATACCCGGATGGCTTACAATCGGTGAACCAAACTCCAAAAACCGACGGACAGAGATTTCTTTTGATATTTTTTATTTTTCTTTATTATACATGGATATGCGTACCAGTCAATTTGATATCGGATTTCTCGTACAGTATCCGTACGATCATTGTGTTTTAAATTCGTGTACGTGTACTTATGGTGCGCAGATATAAAAAAATATACACATGTGCGAAGTTTTTTAAAAGTTAATTACTAGAGTTTCGTGAGAGTACAGTGTAAATTTATTAAGTTTACAGAAAGATATTTTTAGAAAAAAAATTGCCACTGTATTTTTATAAAAATTTTTTTACAAATCAATATTTTTTGAATACAATGATGGATCATCATTTCTTCTCCATTAAATGTATTAAATTCTCTATGGAGAGAATTTATCGCGGAATTCTGTCGCGCGCAGATGATTTATATTTTATATCATAAAGGTATAATATCGCGAGCAAGAGATATTTCTCGTTATTATAATCAAACGAAATAATTCCGCTGTCCATTCCAGGAGGAATGCGTTGCGCTCGAGGAGGAGGTCGAGGATCGAGTGGCGAATCTGGTGAGTCTTCTGCAGGCGAGAAAATCACGGCTGATCGAAGCCGCCCGGCAGACCAGGGAGGCGAGGGTGCGCTCGTTGCGAGACCAGGTAGCGAGATGTGCCACGCATCTGCAGGCGACCACTGCGCTGCTCACGTTCTGCATCGAGGCGCTGAAGGAGAACGACAGCGCGGCCTTCCTGCAGATCGGCGGGATGCTGTCGGTACGCGCGGCGACGGCCGCCGGCTCCTGGGGCGGCGCCGAGGGCGTCCAGGAGATCGCCCGTCTGCCGTTGCTCGATCTCACCCTGGACGACAAGCCGCTGCGCCGCGCCATCGATCAGCTCACCTTCGTCCAGCTCAAACGTAAGTCCGTCCGTGATGGGCGAATGCGGTTTACATGATCGTGTGTGATATGTCCGTGTGTGCACGCGAGCAGTAGATTGAACCTATATCCGGTACGATCCACCCGACGATGATCGTGAATAAATTTCATCGTGCGGACGGGTTTGGGTTTCCCTTCCCCGATAGCGCAACTACATCGCATTAAGACGAAATGAGAAATGACATGAATTTTTATCCACGTTGTACGTTGAAGTAAATGAGCTTCTTGCACGCCAACCCGTTCCCCGCTTGATAGATTAGACTTGTGTAACGTGCGCATGGTGCATATATTTCGTCGAGAAAAAAAAAAGAGGAAATTGAATATTAAACTTTTATGAATTTATTTACTTCGGAGGAAAGAGAAATTTTTTTGGAACTCGAACTAAATAAAATGTTCCGGGACAAACCGGTAGAGAACTTTGCTGTTTATGTTATTGATTTCGTTGCAGTTCCGAAGTACCACTTAATTAATTGCTATACGGAACTCAGTCAAAGTCTATCGTTCGCGTGTACTAGAGAGGAAGTTACTCGGGAGCCAACGCGATTAGAACTAACCAACAGATAATTTCGTTGCAGAAGCACATATCTCCATGCAGTTTGATAAATGAGACACATTCCATTCTCTAAGATACACGCTCAAAGTGTCTATCTAGTATCTAAGCGTAATACCATACAATTCAACATTAATTGACTAAAGCTGAGAAAAGAGTGACAATGGCAATAAAATTATCTTTTAAAACTAGAAAATTAAAACATTTATCTAAGAAAAATCTTCCCTAAAATAATAATCTTTGATACTTAAAATATGTATATCATTTAAGTCCATAGCACATGTGTTTTTATAATTTAATAATTTTGTAAAATTATTGCACATTTTGTGAAAGTCTTGCCAATCTCGTCTTCTGACAAATCGTCGCAACAATTATATGAATAAATTAAATATTCCTCCGTTACAACGCCTGGAATAGCTCGCAAAAACGTCTCGTTGGCTCCTCGTCCTCGTCGGAAACTCATCCCGTTTGGTTCGTTACGCGAACTGAATCGTCTCACGACGGCTCGCATTGCGTATACGTACGTGCCCGGTAAAGCAACGGGCGTAAAAGCGACGTAAACTCGTTCGAAAGACGCCTTCGTGTAGGTACGCTTAATTGACTCGTAGCTTCCGCGACTACCGGGATTTCAGTGGAGCGATTTATCTTTACGAGGCCACGCTGATCGCGCAACTTTGTGCTCGAGTCTTGCTCGTTGATAGTCCGTTTGCCTCTCAAATGGGCGAAACGGAGGTTACACACGCCAGTATAAGCTCCGATTTTCTCGTTATTACTTAACTCCTGAAACGACTGGCAATGACAATTATGTAGAGTTCTGTTACGCAGATATTTAAATTAGCCTGCAATTTTACGCTCTGGCTCTCACGAGATACATATCCTGTTATGTTATTATAATTAATTTTGAAATATCAGACTTGATAATAGTCGCGTGAAAGGAATGATAATTTTTTACGGAATAATAAATCCAGCGATCGGATGAATTAGCAAAGAGAGACCAGAAATAAGAGTACTCGCGGCGAAAATAGTTGACTTTCGAGCGAGTTTCGTTGTTTGACGTTGTGCTTGCATGCGATGTACATACGTAAGTGGAGATACAAATATTTTCACCGATTATAAATCACTCTAATGTTGGACGCAGCGTCGGAGGGGGAGGAACGATATCCTACAGCAGGTAAAGACCCAATGGTGGTAAACTATAATCGTAGACATATAAGTATTATCCCGCGACGCGGGACAGAAAGAGAGGGATGCGAAAAGAAAACAATAATTAAGAGAGATGAAGTAGGCGTCAATCTCACTCGCCAAAGTCGTCTAGACGGCCGGGAGATGACGAGGGGGAGAGATGGGAGTCGAGCAAGGGGGGTCCGCTTAATAATTTTACGTAGCCCCCGGGGACGGCTCCTTTAAGCATGCCTCCTTGCTCGCCGCCATTGCCGCGCCGCCGCCGCCGCCGCCGCCGCCGCTATATATATCTTTGCCGTACGCTAAAACGTTTCAAAAGCGGATTAATTAGGTACCGGCTTTGCAGTAACTGCTGTAACGATCTGAAGGTATTAACTCGTTACAAGGAGACATCCTCTCCTTACCGCTCGCTCGCACTGGGTGCACGGCGGCGGTATATACTCTCCGTTACACGATGCCGGGTGTCACGGGTTGCCGATGTCGGCTCGGGAAACGTTAATCGCGTCTGATTAACGTGTTTACGGATGTATGGATAACTTAATAACGTATATACGGGTAGATGCGAGACCGGGGAGTCACGTTAAAGGCAGACGCTGCAGCACGAAATTCGATTCACTCGAGTGGCAAATAAAATTATCGATTTCGTCGACTCAATTTGACGGATAGAATCAACTCAGAACTGGTCATCAAAGCGCCCCGCCGTTAAAATTAAGGATACGCGCATCGCGTGCGGGAAGTTACGTTATGTACTCTCGCTCATTATTCTAACGAATTTACGGCCGCCGCGTACTGATTGAAATTAGGAAGGGAAGAGTTAATGAAATACAAATCTATTTAACCTGATAAACGACCGCCGCGCCGTCGAGGAAAGATGTAAACTCGTTGCTTCTCTCTATCGAGACATTTCACTTTCGCGGAACCTTGATACAAATCGGTACGGTGATATCAGAAAGTTTCTTCATTACGCGCAGTTTGCTCGTCAAAGAGTGGCACGCCTCGGTTCGTTAAAATCTGCGATCGGCAGTCACACGGAATTTCATTTACTTAACCCGGCTTTGCAAATAGCAAAGCGAGGAATGTGCCCCGTGGAAACTTTCAAGTACGCGAGAATTCCGCGTAAAGTTTCCAACGAAATCACTCGGGCACGTTTTCCGGAATCTAACGAATGTATAATACATTAGAAAAGTATATGCATATTTCGTTGGGTGACAATTTTTTTTTTTACAATACTTGGCGCAGTCGAAAACTATAATCCTTTTCTTTCTCGAAAGAAATTTTATGTTTTAAATTTTATTTTAAGAAATTTCGATGTTAAGTGAACACTTTTAGAAAAATCGGATAATGAGAATAATATAATAACTCATCATTTTAATTTTTACATCTATTTCGCACGTCGAAGCAACGCGGCGAAAATTGGAATATCTACGATCGCAGTTGCAACAGCTGCTTAGCAGTTTACAGCGACGGTGAACGAAGGGGCAAAACGAAAATGCGAAATTCATTTTCCGTACTTTACGAGGCTGTTACGCGCGCGCGCCCGGCGCCATTTCGAGCTCCGTGGAACGGACTTAATCGAACATAAAAATTCCGTCATACCTCTGAGACGAGGGAGAGACAAGCGATCGACGATGCGTCGAACGCTCTCGAACAGGTGCTTCGCTTTCTTAAATTTTGACTTTATTGCGGCGTGCGATCGCCGTTATCCCGAGTTTTACGACGTGAAAAATTGCCGGATCTCTCCCGGGCCGCTGCTAAATTTCGTTATTACATCTGCCTCCGTGGTCTTAAAGACGACCGAGCGGTTTCTGAAGTTAAAAGTTTGTCACCGCGGAAATTATCGCGCGTTTTTATCGTTTTTTTTTCATTTTACGACGCGATGCATCCGATTACGAGCGCGAATCGTTATTGCCTGACGAAACGCTGTGTTTACGTCATGTTGCCGTAAATGTAATACGAAAATGAAGATTGCAGTCCTCTATTTATTCGCGTCTGGGATTTAGCGGAGAGTAAACACCGCGGATGTTCTCTTTCTCATAAAATTTAAAGTCAATTTTCCTGATATTTCTGGCGAAATCGACGCTTAGCATTCGTCAGATTCGACTGATAGATTTCCCTTTCCGTTAGCGGTGCTACGGATAGAAAAGGAGAACGAAGAATCGGTCTAGACGTCCGGCGGAAAATTAAACGCGGGCTTGTCGCGGACGAGGCTGACGACCGTACAATGCGACGTTAATGTCCCGTACGTATGTCTCGCCGAGATAACACGGGTAAACGGGAATTCTACCTCCTCGACGCTGGCAGATTAATTCACTCATTAATTTATACGCGTGCGATGCTGCAATCGCGGCTCCATCGTCAACGACCGTTCTTTTAATAACAACTGATGATTTTCTCATCGCCCAAGTCACCTTACATTGACCGAAGTGGCTCTTAATGCGAATATTTTATTCAAAGCATGTTTAATTAAATTTCTACATACAGATAAGAACGGATAAGATACGAAGCTTTATCATATTGCGCGTCTTAAAACAGATATAACGTTATTTAAAAATACTTTTCAGCGAGAAAAAAGAAACTAATCTATCTACAATACATGTTTTTTGTATTTAATATAAAATAAATTTTATATAATTTTCATTTGAATACGAAAAATTAAACAATTTCTTTTTTCTTAGTAAAAAATTCTTTACCTTTTATTTAAATTATTAACTCTTCAGAATCTCATAAAGTTTATCGTACGTCTAAGATATAAAAAGTTGATAATTTAAATAAAAAGTAAAGATTAATAAACTTTATAAGTCAAGTCTGCCAGCTCCTCTTTCCTTTCATCTGACTATAACTTATCATAGTTGCTAAACCAGAAAGAAATATACCAAGAAGTAAATACATCTACCGAATGTAATATAAGGAAAAGGAATTATCGCGCGCGTATCGAACTCAAGTCAAAAGTGTAGTCGAGGATTCTTCAGAGTTTAAAAGAAGCTTCTCGCGCGCGAACCAGTTGTCTCGCCTTTCCAGAAACGAAAGTGCCGAAGCGGACGTGATTGTTTCAAGAATGCTTCTGCGCCTGGAGTGAAGCGTGAAAGATCGTCTTCTCGGCGAGAACTTCGTCAAGATCACTGTCGAGTCTCTCGCGAGAAGACCATTTTTCGCCGAACCCGAGAGCCCGTCCATCCTCCGCGAAGTTTATTTTCACCCGTCGCTAAGTTTTATCAGCGAGATATATTTCGCACGCGATACATTTTAACGGGCTATCGGCGCATTCTTCGCTTCGTCATGCCTTTCTTTCTCTCTCTCTCTCTCTTTTTCTCTTTCTCTTCTTCTCCACTGTATAACCCTTATCGGTGCACTCTTTTTCCACGTTTTCCTCACAAAGAGAACAAAATGAACGAAAGAGAAAGAGAGAGAGAGAGAGAAAGAGAGAGAGAGAGAGTCTGTACGTATCGGATATCGGCGCGGCGCGGCGTGGCGTGGCGCGACGCGTCTCGCGCCGTTCGATAAATCATTCCGATATGGGCATAAAGTTTCGCCGGTGTGTGTCGATTCACGTCGGACCCCATTGTAAAGCTGTAAAAAGAGCGGCCGTAACAGTTTTTTATCCACGCGCACGTTGTTTCCACGCGTCTCTCCCTGTCGAGACCGCCGCGCCGCATGCCGCTCCTTCGGAAGCCGAGATCTTCGAGTCACTCGCGTGCACCTGTCCTGCCCATTAATTCCCGCTTTTACGAGCGCACCCTCGTAAAAGGCGGATGATCGATATTTCACGTGTTTCCCTCGCGACTTTTTTTTTTTTTTTAGCGCGCGGCTTTAATTGACGCCGCGGTAACCGTTACGCCTCGCGCTTCGTCCGGATTCTCCGTTATATTGGGTCGGATCGTAAACGCTATACGAGCGCCAGAATCGATGATCTCTCACAGTTTATTACGCGACGATTTGTCCAAATTTAATTAAACGTTGGTAATAACAGCTTTTAATTAGTCTTTACTGCTCCGTTAAGAAAACAAAAATAATATATATTTGCCATCGGAGGTGATACCAAAAGAAATAATCGTCCACGCTGGCTGTAATACCTAGAGATTATGGACTCGCACGTTGATAGCGCCGACGTAAAATCCGACGAAATCCGGGATAATCGATAGTAATGTCGCCGACATAGAGCGACCGGAGCGTGGTGCAACGGAATTTACCGTGCGAACGGCTTCATCGAGGTTCCATGTCGGATTACACGAGTTTTTGGATCGCGATAAGCGGCGTAACAGGAAGCGAGTTTATTCTAACGCCGCGTCGTCGCTCTTTTTCTGTTTGACGTAAACGACTTTTCCCTCGTCGATTTTCATCACGCGTCGCACGCGCGTCACGCAAATTACGCGGTCTCACTTAACACGCCGCTCCCGAAAATTACGCATTTCGAACTCTTACATATCGTGGACATTATGGATAAAATAATTTTTTCTTATCTACAAATTTTTTGTATTTTTTTTACAATAGTAAAGTTATTAGTTAGCTCTATTAAATTTTCGAATCACCGCGAGGTATTGAAATAAACGAGTGTATCGTTATTTGTAGCTTCCTACTTGTTCGACGTGGAAAGTAATGTTTCCTTTTCGTTTGCCCGTTCAACTGGAAATGAAAATACAAAATGATAAATGTTTCTCGAGACGATCTTAATTTGCATTAAAGCTTCGGCGGTTCGAACGCTGAACATAGTTACGTAACGCCGGAGCCATTAGCCTAATTTCATAATGCGAGTACCGCAGGGACCTTAGAGCTCTCGTGCTGTAGAGCGGAATGGCTCTCTCTCCAAGGATATACGCTGAACTCTCCGTGACGATTCGCTGTCAAGCATGAAGCCAGTTAATTATGCATACACGTGTTAAGCCTTCCTTGACGTTGCAAGTAGGCGAAACATTATTCCTAGTGTTCCATAGCGCGTCTGTGTATGCATATACATGTAAAACAGAGTTAATATAATCTATAAACTTTGCAACACACCTCTCGAAACTCACTCTCGACTGCAAGTGATTTCGCACAAATTTGAATTTTGAACTATAATTTTACAATATAATTTGCTGCTTAATCCTTTCACAGTTGTAGACTTTTCGCGATGTTTAACAATATACAGGGTGTCCCGAAATGCGCGAATCAAAATATCACAGCACAAAAGCTTTTGAAAAATTAAGTAAAAAATTTATTTGTAAATTTTGAATTTAAGCTAGTAGTTAGTAGTTTTTAAGATATAACAGTTTAAATTTAGCCAATTATAGATTACGATTAAACGGAAACATGTCCAGGAGCATATCGATAGTGTTAATGGTCGCGCGTTTCACGCGAGTACTATTCTATAATTGGCTAAATTTAAACTCTTATATCTCAAAAACTATTGCTTAAAATAAAAATTTACAAATAACTTTTTTACTTATTTTTTCGAATACCTTCTTGCTATGATATTTTGATTCACGAATTTCGGGACACTCTGTATATTCAATATTTTGAAATAAAATTGAATCTCCCGTGTTGACGCATCATGGATCATTCTTTTTTTTATCTCTCTTTGCATATCGTGGTATGTTTGTTTAAATTCTTCATAGTTGCATAAAAAAAATTGTATTTTTTAATTCCATGCGTGAAATGATATTTTCCTATATATATAAAAGATTACATCTTTTGTACAGAAAAATACGATTTTTCCTGCGTCGTATATATGTGTATTGAAAAAACGTATTAAGTTTCGTTACATCATTGAATTCACGAGTCAATTTCGTCCGAAATCGGAAAGGTGATTAGTTTTGCGTGGAATCGCAGCTTCCACGGCTTTTATTCCAGAAAATTATGGAAGAGAATACTTTTTCATCTGCGTGAATGCACGGGACGCCATTGAAGTTCCGCTTTTCACTATGTGCAAAAACAATATATATATATATATATATATATATATATATATCGCGTCTGCTGTTATGCACGATTTCAATTACTATATCGAAACACCGACTCGTCTACCTTTTTATTCATTATAGAAAGCAAACTTTATCTGATTTATAATCGAAATTGAGCGGTATGGTTTCTATCGTAGATTAATTGTAAGTTACACCAAGCAAAGGTATAAAAATCGATCTTGAATTGACCAAAGAAATTGGCCGCAGACAAAGCAGCTCACTCGCAATCAGTGGAGTGATTCTTTAATATGATTAGTTCTTGCCTTTAGCTCTTCGCTGGATCTAACAATAAGTGTAAAAATCAATGGTAGCAAAGAACCTCTGCGCGCTCACTGAGCCGCTTTGTCTGCTGAACGCCGCAGCCGCTAAAAAAAAAAAGTAAATGCGGTAGAGACAGGACAACACAATTTTGTCAAAAAGCTTGATCGCGGTTTTTGCGACTCAACGGTATCCTACCGACGCGACGTGGCAAAAACGTCGCGCGGCAACTTTCGGGACACGTTCTCTTTTTATCTGACGTGCGCGCACATCGCGACGTGTTTGCCAAGCCTCGTGGCCTTTCCTCCCCGTCTTTCGCCTTTTTGGGCGAAGAGTGTTTACTCCTCTCGGTTCGCGGAATCGCGGCGGCGACGGCGACCGGTCCGATCGGATTATGCTCGCCGGCGCATCCGGAATCGACGACCGAAACGGACAGGAAGTCGAGGTCGGGCACGTCGCGCGCGTCGAGAGCGTTTTCGAGAGATAAGTTTGCGCGAAACCGCACAACCGCCAGCGGACAGCGGGCAGCGCGCGCCGAGAGGAAATGCTTTTGGTTTATTAGCATGCCAACAAGTTAACCGGCGGCGAGCGCCGACGACCCGCGTCGCGACGCGGCGCGGCGCGGCGAGCTTCCACTGAAAGCCAGATAATTGCATGTAGAAGCATCAACGACCGCCTACAGCGCGCGTTAACGCTCTTGAACGCGGGCTTATCCCTAACGTTTGCGTGGCCGGTAATGAACGTCCAACGGTCCAACGTGATCAGTATCGCCCCCGAACGATCGCTCTTTTACGGCGAATGCAACGAGCGCGGAGAGCGTTCTATCAAATGAATTATCAAATGAATTAACGTAATCTCCCCCGCGAGAGACATGCAGTATGCGCGTTAGCAATGCAATGCCTCATTTGCGACAGTTTTTGAACATTTGAAACATTCTTTTTTTTCTTATTAAATGAATATTTCTTTTGCATAATATTCCAAGCTCTTCTTATATTCTATATAATATTCCAAGAAGATCTACATTAAATCAATTATATTTCTTTTGTACAATATTCTAAAATCTTCTTGAAACATTTTTTTTTTCTTATTAAATGAATATTTCTTTTCTGTAATATTCCAAGAAGATCTTGAAATATTGTACAAAAGAAATATTCATTTAATAAGAAAAAAAAAAATGTTTTAAATGTTCAAAAACTGCCGTAAATGAGGCATTGCATTACTAACGCTTATACATGTCTCTTCTCTCGCAAGGGAGATCTTGAAATATTATTCTCCAGGAGAAATTAATATTGGCTATTAATTTGACCAGGTCCCAATGCGAAGGATCGATTTGATTCTAACGTTTTGTCGAGGAAGTTACACGTATTCCGACCGATTTGACAAATTGAGAGATATGGTGGCTCCGCGCGCACCGGCATCTCGGGTACATTTCTGCGGGACAGAAATCTGGATAGCGCGCAGTAATTTCCGCGGCTTCAACTTGTACCTTAGGCAGTCAGAATCGAATAGAATCGTGCGGTCGCGCGGCAACGACCAAGTTCCGTCCGTCGTTAGGAAACTCGCGGCAAATTCGGCAGCCCGAAGCCTGTTTAAATCGTGAAATTATTGCCGCCGAAGGTCATCATCGGCGAGGCGGCTTCGAGGCAAATCGGATTGGAGTCAAATACCCAGCGCGGTTTCAAATCATATTATATCTCGCAAGTTGGCCGGCGATAATTAAAACTATATCAAATGAAATCGTCTGTGTGCGAATCTACTTTCTTCTCTTCACGGTGTTTTTAATTTATGATTATATATATATCTATACATAAATTTGTTTATATACAAATATGTATATTATATATATAAAACACACGTTATTATATATATAAAACGTGCCTCGTTATTTTATCGGGGAATTTTTCTCTTTTCCATTTATTGCTTTTTGATCTATTTGCATGACAACTTCCTACTTATTTATAAGCTTATTCGCTCGTAAAATAATTTACAAGCAAACTTCGTTGGCTCGAAATCTCCAAAGTTAAATGCCTTTACCTCAATCCTTTCGTTACGAAAATACGAAATGTTTAGTTACTTACCCGAGGAAACTTCTTAAGTGTGTACAAAGTTTTACCGAAGTAGAAAATTTTAGTATTGGAAGCTTTCGTCCTTAAGCAAGTACAACAACTGATTTATAGTCTGCTTATAACTTTATTTTTACGAGACAACTTCAAAGTAACCGTATCTGCTTTTCCATCACGCGAGCGGAGAGTTCCTCGCGTTATCACTATACAAGAAGAGCTTACTTCAAATTAATCGAAAAATCTAAAATTTCATTTATTTTCATGTATTCAATGTAACAACTTGCATCTTGAATTATCGCGAACGTTACTACAATTGTTGTCGTTGGAATTGATTCTAAACTCCCCCATACGCCGGGAGAGTCGCGCGCTCACCTAAAAGACATTATTAAATCCAGTTCATTGTCAGTACTTACTTTGCCGCCCGCGTTTCCACGCAACGCCGACGATTACAATAACGCTGTTAAACCGTCTCGACGTACGCATTTCCAGCACCCGGAGCGCCCTTACTGATCCCCGAAGAGTGTAGCGCCGAGAACAACAGCGTCACCGTTGCCTGGCAGCCGCCACCTGGCCACGGAATTATGGGCTGCGCCGGACAGAGGGGCCCCGCCATCGAGGGATATCTCTTGGAGCTGGACGACGGCTGCGGCGGGGAGTTCAGGGTGAGTAAACACCTTCCGTATATCCCGAAGAAATTGTACTCCTCCCCCGCCTCCCTACCGTATCGTGTCGGCGCGGATAGAGACGGGCTATCGGACGGGCTAGGCTTGGATCCTCGAGGCTTTCTCGAGATCGTCCGCGAATTCTTCGATGACACTTCACCCGTCGGGACCCTCAATCGTGCTGGTTTCTTTGCTGACGCGACGCGACGCGTCCGGTTCCGGTGTTTCTTCGCCGCGCTCTCCGTCGCGGCCGTATCATCCCGCGACGACGACGACGACGACGACGACGGGCGATGCGACTTTACCCAACAATGGGACACTTCGACGTTCTCACGATGTCTTCCGTAGAATTGTTCTCCGATCCGGCGCGGACGAGATGACACCGAGGGAGAAAGAGAGAAATTCACTGGCATTAAATAATATTTGACGTCTGTTATTTCTCCCACGGAAATCTCGAAAGCAACGCGTCGATTTTCTCACACGATAGCAAATATTTTTTTCCGAGTATTGTAACGTCTCTTTTTTTTTAAGCCATTTCTTTTGAAAGCAGAAAATGAAAAGAACGGATTATCTAGAAAAGGATAAGAATTTATTCTACTGTTGAAAGAAATTGAGTTAAAACGAGAAATTATAATATTTAAAAAAATTAGTACTTTTTTCATATGTTACAACTTCTCTTCTTAACTCAATTCCTTCAAAAGTAGAATCAATTCTTGCTGTTCGTTGTGTACAAAAATTTAACATGATTTGAATAGACTGAATACGAAATGTTATTGAAAGCGCAGCGATACTAATTTTATTGGACGTGATGCTGTGAGACTGTCTGTCGGTTTCGCTCTCGAAAAGTTAAGACGAGGTTTCCTCGCGCCCGGGCAGAAGGAAGTTACTCGTAGCGTAAAAATAGTAAAAAAAAAAGGAACGAGTTGTACGAACGTGGCAGGAAACTCTAGAAGATTCGTTGTGTATGTTGAACTAAACGTGACAGTGTAACCCGAGGGAAAAAGAGATGTAAGTTTGTCTGTGAAATGCATTCGTTAAAATTCTCTACGGTAGTTTTCTCCCCGGCTATATATATTTTTTTAATCTTTAGTTAAATCGCATGTTTGCAAAATTGATTGCCGGGATCCTCGAGAGGCTGAAAATACCCTTTTGATCTTCCCGATTCGATAGTTATTACCCAGTTAACCGTTAATTCCAGTAAAATTCTTTTGAAACTTTCTGATATTGAGCGTGTTAAATATCTGTCCGCTATTATTTCTGGATTATGACACATATACACGAGAGTGACCATGCGAATAAAATTTTATCGCGCCGTCGTTCAAGTTTTATCTCAAATTTTACGACCACAATTTCGTCCCATAATACATACTACACGCAATGACATGAAAATGAATCTTATACGCGGACCGATTGCCGGACACGAGCGTTTAATAAAACCGCGCGCGAGTTCGAGAGAGACGTACAAAACCCGCCTTTCAATTTACCGAAGGATAATACCGGCTATCGGCGTGACATCGAAGCTCAAAGGGGGACGAGGAAAAAAGAACGTCAGGATCATAGAAACCCTCTTTGTTGAGAATTTGTTCGCCGGCGCGCCGCGAGATGAATGTTGATGCCGATAAAGTCCGTAAAGCGCTGATTTTTTTTTTCGTAGAGATTTTGTTACGGGTCGTATATCCACCGTTGTACCGGGACGGATCGCTCGCGCGCGAATACCGGCCTTCGTGAAGGGTCGGCCACGTATCCCATTCGGAGCGCGTTTCCGGACTCCAGGCGGGGTCGTTCGTCGAATTTTATTCTCGGACCGCGGTCTCTTACCCGGCCGGACTCGAAACCCCGTCGTCTTTCGCGTTTTATTGATCGTAAACGCGGGCGGTAGCGGGGCACCCTGAAACGCGGTATAACGATTACGGCTAATAACTCAGCCTAAATAGCGCGCGTGGGCCCGCGCGCGGCATAAAAAGTCGGGATTAAAAGGCAGCCTCGGCGGAGGGGGAGTTCTCTGCGAGGGGGCGCGAGTTTGAGAAATCTGGAGATTAGCGTGCCGAATAGACGCTGTTTAACGCGCCGCGTTAATCCATTCGCGACGTCCCAAATGGGTACGATAATATCTCTAATTGTCCGACGAGGAAAATCGTAACGTAGTTTGTAAGGGTTTTAAAGCCCTTCTTTAGACCCAAGCCCAGAGTATATGTCGTGTACGTGAATTGAGAAACAGTTTGTGAACTGGGATTCTTCCTTCGGGGTAAATGAAGATTCGATATTGAGAGAGCGCGTTAATTGAAGCCCATAACTCCAAGATTCCGGGCTTACACGTGAGAAATGAGCGATCCTCTCGGGCGATGGCAATTATTAATTGCTCCCGGCGATATCGTCCCGTTCATTAGAAGTTTTTATCAAATGACGGCAGTTCGAACCGTCGTTTGCCACATAATCCGCGATATTAATGTGAGGTAATTTACCGGCGGTCGTAGAGCTTCATAGGGTTTTGTCTTTCGCCTCAGCGCGAGGGGAAAATAAAATTGCACGAAGTGAAAGAGAAAATGATATCGTAAAGCTTTGGTATTTTTACAGAATTATTTTAATATCGCTGGACTTAACTCTTTCGAATATTTGCGCGCTACGCGAATGTGACGCGGAATAAAATACATATTTAAATTGAAAAATGTATAAATTAAATGTGTTCAGAGAGAGAGAGAGAGAGAGAGAGAGAGAGAGAGAGAGAGAGAGAGAGAGAGAGAGAGAGAGAGAGAGAGAGAGACTGTTTTCCTTCTTGATACCGCATATAAACGTCAGTTTCATCTCACGATTGATTCGTGCTAAATTTCGCATTTATACGATGCATCATTAAAGTAGCTTTATTTACAGATTGTATTAATTCTTCTCGTTTCTCATGAAGATTTCACTCTTCAAATGGCTCGCGCGGAGAAATACGATGCTAAATCCGCGGTGAAATCGACGAGAATAGCATCATGTATATATCGCGCCGCACCGCGTATGAATTCCCGCTTCTCGCGCGAACGTGCTTCAGGTTGGGCTTGTAAATCGCGCGTCTAAATTTTCATGCTTTGTTAATAATGCACCCGGCACGGCGGCGTTGCGATATGGCGCTCGTTAACGAACGGAGCGATACCGCGAATATAAATCGTCCTCGTTGCCGGCGCTCTCCTCCTCGTCCTTTCTCTGCCGCCTCCCCCTCGTCCGACCTATCGCCAGTCCTCTTGGCGGCCATCGGGATAGCGCGGTCCATCCTCCTCCTTTTAATATTTAAATCGAGCTCGTTCGCGCGCGCGGCGCGATGCCTCGGGTTTCCCGGTTTCTGGTTTCCGTTTCCGCGCTGTCGCTCCTCGAGCTCGCAAGCAGGAATTGTGAGGGCTCCTTTGACGAAATCGGGTTGAAGGATCGGGTTCTGCCGCAAGATTCACGATAGCCCGGAAATTAATTCCCCCTATTCTGCGCGATCTTATTTGGAGAAAATGCAAGATATGCAAAAAATTAAAAGTTTCGTATTTCTTGTCTGAATCACGAATTCCTGACTAGAAGCAGCGAAACTTTTAGCAAACTTCGCAAATTCTTATAGCAAACATTTTCCTATTATATCATTTTTCTATTATCAATTTTATATTGTAGTCTTTTATATCTAAAGTTGATAATCGCAAAAATATCAAGATACGTGCATAATAAACAATTAAAATTATATCGAAAATGATATTGAAAAGGAAAGGTATATGTCGAAGGACAGTTCGTATATTTCACCGGTTCGCACGAAACTTTTATTTCGATGTTAAATCTAATAAGTAATAACGTATCTCTCTCGTGCTTGTTTATCTGTTGGTCGACCAATCGATGCTATCTTGACGTTTCTTTCAAGAAAGCCGACATGACAGGTAAACTCCGCTCTTTATCCACAATTCCCGTTTATCCACCACTCAGACGAGCAATGTCAATACTCGTTCGCCACAGTGAACGAGTATTTTCGAGCCAAGTTAGACATTCCAACTTGCCTTAGTCATTACTCAATATACAGAAATTGGAACCCTTGTGATTTTATCTCGTTTCTAGATGAGTTGATTTTATAGTTTTTATTTTTAAGGATTTCTTTATTATTATTTTATATAAAATAGATATTTTTTTTAATATATTGCATATTTTATATAGACATTTATTTCAGCGTAGAAAGAATTCTATTTTAATTATTTGTGATATAATAGCAGTGGAATAGTAGCGGAATATCATTAAATAATTTTACGCTATCTAATATTTCTTGGCGTTTCCCGAAAAGTAAAAATTGAAAAGTGGATATTCTTTGTGCCATAATTTGTATTTCCGCAAAAATTATTCTCTCTCTTGATTAATAGGATAAGTTTATCCGGCTATACAATTGCAACCCGCAAATTCACGGGTGCCCCGTTTGAAATCTGATTCGCAGGAGGTGTACTGTGGCCGCGAGACCATTTGCACGGTAGACGGGCTGCACTTCAACTCGCTCTACAACGCCAGGGTACGGGCCTTTAACAGCGCCGGCGAGGGCGAGTACTCGGAGCTGATCGGCCTTCAGACCGCCGAGGGTGAGAGAGAGCTTTCTCCTTTTTTTCTTTACAGTTTCCTCTCCGGGCGAGGCGCGCGGAGGCCTCGGCTGGAAAATCGGCGTCGGTGTCGCGTGGAAGACGAACGATCGTAAGCGACGTCGATTTTCCAGTCGTGCGTATTTTTTTTCCCTCCTTTTTTTCCGCGGCACGATCGCGTGATCGATGAGATGGACGGTAGATGCACAGAAATAGCCGCGATAGAATGCCCATCCGTGCGGCGTTTGCGGAATAATGCGGGCGACAATTACAAATGACTCCGCGCGGAGACATTTTTACCTTTCGCGTTAGTTCCGAGAGGAAACGGAAAAACCGCCAAAAATTTCGTTTCATTACCACTAATTCTATTATTGCGGAAATGCTTAAATTATTCAGCGGAGAATTAAATGTTCTATCTTGAATTCTTGAACAATGAATCGACTGATACGACGAAAGGTACGATGATTCGACAGATCGAATTATTTGCAATCTATAATAATTTACCACGTTTGTTGCTTATATTCTTGGACCAATTTTTTTCATGTTGAATTTTAATCTCTTATTTATATATCTTCATATTTTTCCAAATGTAACATTATAATACATAAAGGTTGAGAGGAAAAAATTCTCTCTCCTTTGTATCCCCGGGTCATAACTATAATATTCATCGAGGGGGAGTTAAATTAATAAGCTTCAACAATCGCGTTACGTAAGAAAAATTTCATATTAAAGTTTCAAATTATTTAATACACCGCGAATGATAAAACGCATAAAAACGTTCCTTCTTTTTGCATTGAGCTTCCCCGCAGTCGCGTCACGTCGACTTTCCATATCAAAATTCTTAAATTATTTAGCCGCACAGAAAATCAGATCCTCCCCCCCCCCTTCATTCTCCCTCCCATATTAAGATTCCACAATCCCGTCACGTCGTTATTAACATCGAGTGCGGCGGCGACGTCGAATTCCCAATAACCCGGGCACTCGATAACCCAACGCCCGTGTGCCCGAACGTGTAGTTCGTTAAGCGTGCTTGCGGATCCGAGTCCGCGGAATATTAATCGAAGCTGTACGGTAATCCTCTGGTCTCTTGTCCCCCTCTCTCTCGCAGTGGCGTGGTTTTCGTGGGCCACCGGCGCGACCGGCATACCGCAGGAGGTGTCCATATCCGAGGACGCGATGAGCGCGTCCTGCGAGGGCTACGAGCACCGCGTGGTCCTCTCGAGCGTCGGCTTCTCGCGGGGCGTGCACTACTGGGAGCTGACCATAGATCGATACCACAGTGACACCGATCCGGCCTTCGGTATCGCCCGGGCCGATGTGTCGCGCGATCTGATGCTGGGTAAGTTCCGCCAACCTATCAGGCCTGCTTGCCTTCTCCCGTCCTCCCCCCCCCTCCCTGCTTCTTGTCCTCTTCTCTGCGGAAAATATCGTGCGGTTTATCCCGGTCCCGATGAAATATTCATGCGCCACCCGGTACACCCCGGAGATCCCTGGTTTGTTCGGAAATTCGGAGGCGAGAGATGTATGTATCGCTTCTCTTTCTCTCCCTCTTCCTCCCTCTTTCTCCTTTTGTCTTTCGGTCTCCCCTTTTCTCTGTCTCTTTGCCTTTGTCTCCATACATCGCCCCCGGATGAGAAAAAACGACGGCCAGGAGAGATTCCGAGAGATCGCAAAGTGCGCGACCGCGGTTGTGCAACATGCTGGAAGAGGAGGGTGCTTTAACCCTTGGACACGTGGAAATCGGGTCAACGCTCTTAGAACTGATGAAATCCGCAAATCGATCGCGTGCTACCTAATAAACACGGCGGAGATTTATGGAATAGGGTCCGCAACCGTGTCACGTATTCCTTTTTCTCGTTGCGATCGTTTTGGAATATATTCTCCGCGTTAACACTGTGTTTAACGCGATAGCTATTCGTTTCACCTGTTCCAATTATTTCAAACGAACGAAAAAATACATTAGCATGATAAATATCTAGAAGATCACCTCCGCTATTACTGTTCCTGCTACTAATAATGTTCTAAATATTCTCAACATCACGCAAATAATTTCATCATCTCCAAATGTTTCTTTTTTTTTTTTTAAACACGTCTAGACACCTTAACCATTGTACCATTTATGTGGCATGCAGTCCGAGACGAAATCCAGTTAGACCATCCGCTCTGACGGCGGCTCACGTCGTGCGACTCTGCGAATCGTTTTGTTCACAGGCAAGGACGACAAAGGCTGGAGCATGTACATAGACCGTCAGCGGTCGTGGTTCATGCACGGCGGCGGCCACGCGCAGCGCACGGAGGGCGGGGTACAGCAGGGCTCGACCGTCGGCGTCCTCCTCGATCTGGACAACACGCACACGCTGCGGTTCTTCGTCAACGACCAGCCGCAGGGCGGCATCGCCTTCCGCGATCTCTACGGCGTCTTTTATCCGGCGATCAGCCTGAATCGCGGCGTGACCGTGACCCTGCACACCGCACTCGACGTGCCGCGTCACCTCCTCGCACTACACGAGGAGTACGTTAGCGATATGGTTCAGAGCTAGGGGTACCTTAACGTCCTTAAGAAAGGTCTGCCGCAGGAGATCGGCTCGCCTTTAGGCCCGACTACGTGCGCCACGGACAGGTGCAGGGACTACGAGTCGGGCCAGCTGCTGGAGAAGATTATCGAGGAGAGCCCGGTCGACGTTAACTGATCGGTAGATCTTTTGAATATCTTTAGAGCGATCGAGATCGTAGTCCGTTTTCTATGAATCTGCTTGGCGCAAAGCGTTACGAAGAAGAAACGTGTATACGAAAGCATCTGAAATCGCTCCGAGATGTTATAATGTTAATGAGGACGCTCTGGTCCTTTCGCAATAATTTATGCGGCGAAATGAGGGTGGTTTAATCTCCTTAGGGATTTAGAGACGCAATACACGTATCTTTGTTCTGAATATTTATTTAGAGGTAATATTTTTGCGAAGTGTTTTCCAATTTCGCAACTGCGGCGCATACTTTGTGTTTCAAATTTGGTATATTGATTTACCATAAAGAGAACGTAGTTTTTTTAATTTATAACTGAGAAATACGCGATCCCTGGGGATGTTAATCCGGGCAAAATTCGTCCCGCGCTGTTTGTCTGAATATAAGCGGGCTCCACGAGGAATAACGATTCAACAGGTCCAGAAACTTTGGCGAGAAGGTTTCCGAGGGAGGCGCTAACCGTGGACCCTTTTGGATCCGCCTTGTTTGAGAAACTAAAACTTAGAATCCAGACTCTATAGTGTTGGGAGAAATCGGGATTTATATAATATATATATATATATATACTTTCTAATCTCGTCCGCGCGATCGATAGTCGCGTTAAACGAAAGCACCGATAACGCCAATCGAGGGATATTTCGAAATATAAAAACGCAGCGTAAAATCACTCGAAGAGAATGAATAACACTACTTCATCCCGAGGAATTAACAAGACTGACATAATTCACGCACACACGTAACGCGATCCATAAGTAATGTCTCTCTCGTCAGGAAGTCACGAAAGCTAAGATAAAGTTCCCTCCGCCGGAAAGTCGGTCCATTTTCTATTTATACCGCGCTCTATATTAAAAGCGGAGAAAAGAAAATATTTTTTCCTACGCGCTTCCTAAATTCGGGTTTCTCGAAGAAATTACCTCGACGAAGACTTAACGCACTTCTGAGGCTCGGGGTGCCTCCGACCTTCGGTCAATTAACTCGAGTTTCCCTGTTCACGCGCTACACAGCCGATATAGCCTATGATCGAGAAAGAGACGTGGGAAGGGGGGCCAAGGGGGAGAAATTACCGGACACTTAACCGAAGGTGGAGAACGACCGGCCCTCGGAAGCAAGGAGACGTCCATTAGCAAATAGCCAAGTATCGTCGCCGACAAACTTTGTTGAAGACCGTGTCCGAGTAGAAACGATCAATCGGTTGGCTCGAGAGATCGCGTCGAGAGAGTCGAGGTACAGAGAGTGAGGAGTCTCTTAAATTCATCGCTCGACAGAGAGGGAGACGCACGAGCGAGAAATAGCGTCTCGCCCGAGACGGGCAACCTTTCTCGATATCCTCGACGGGGCAGTGGTTCTTGGGTAACTTCTTACTCCGGGGAGAGTTGAGTTTCTCGAGTCGGGGTGCGCGAAGAAGGACATACGGCATCGGGGAGGCGCCTCGAGTATATAGGCCCTTCCCGCAGCGTGCTCCGGACAGCCAGCAAAAAAAGTCGACGATCAGTCCCACCGGGCGGTATCCGCCGCAGTTTTTTTGTCGATCGCGTAATTAACTCTTTTAGCACCTGCCGTCATACAGCATGCGCATCTACCTTCAATGATGTGCTAATTAATGCAGAGCTTTTCTTGCCATAAAGATAAGACGTAGCAAAATTTCTGAGACTCTTTAACATTTTTCGTATATGCGATAATTCAACGACAGTACGTTTTTTTTATTGTAAAAATAATTTTTACGAGAAGAAAACACTGTCGTTTCGAAAAATGCTTTTTTCACAATAAATGTATATGAAAAAGATTGTATAACTGACGTTCGACGATTTACCTCTCGGAAAGTAGTGAGATACGCTTTTTCTAATCGAATGAAATTGATCGAAGCAGAATTTAGCAATTCAATTCAGTTTCGGTGCTGAAACAGTTAATGACCGTGCGGAAATCGCGAGCGTGTCGTGCTTCCGATCGAACGCTGACGAGGCGCGATCGGCGATGAGGAGACGGAGCGATCGACCGCGGTAAGGCCGATAATTATCCTACAGGACGGGGAATCGAAAACTCCGCGCCGGGACACGCTGACCGGACGGATTCTTCGTTCTGCTCGAAGCGATCGACGGATCGCTCGATCGTCCAGCCCATTATCCATATCGAAACACACACGTTTATAAGTGTAATCGCGTTGTAGGCGTTAAGCTCCTATTAAAGCGTATAGACAGGTAAGGCGTATAAAACAATGCTGCCGCTGGCTTTAGTGTACAATAACGAGTATACGTTTTCTAGTCTTCGATAGAGAGACACCCACATCGACACGAATCTCCTTCGCCCAACCCTTCACTCCCGTCGTTTCTTCTCTTCCTCCCCCGCCTCCCCCTATTCGCATCCCAGCTCTGGTTCTTTTTTACGACTTTGTATCTCTTGACGGTCAGGAGTCGCAGGGCATTTGGTCCTCGCGCTCGCCGTTATATTCCGTGTGCAACGATAACCCGGAAGCATTATTCTGCGCCGGGCGTCGTTCCTGCGAGCGAGCACGCGCGCGCGCGCGCGCGCCTCTCGGCGCCATGTACATAAGTGTATATATACATATAACTATATCGATTGTACCGCCGATGAATTTGCCGATTGTACCATTTACGACTGTATCGGATCAATAAAACGCAACGAAAACGCCCGCACGACTCGTGCCATACTCGTGTGACCCCTCGATTCCCCATTCTCCCCTATACACGATTCGCTTTTCCCTTCCCAGCGGTGGATTAAGGTACTTGAGATTCTCTGCAGAATATTAGAGAAAATACCAGATCGAAAGGATGTCATGAAAAATATTAAACCTCATTTTTTTTTTTAAATGTCAGCTACATGCATTATTAATTTATTTTTGACGTTATAATTTGATTCTATATTTGGCCATCCAGTTTTCGTGAAATAGAAATTCGTGAAATTCGTAGCTTTGAGATTTCGAGAGAGATCGAGAGAATTGATGCCCTTGTGCGATAATCCACCGCTGTTCTCCAGCCGCTCTCTTTCCCCCTTTCTACCCCGCCGTTTTTCATTCATTTGATCCGAAACTTTCGCAACACCTCTCTTCAGGAAGTTCTCTCCCGCCGTTGCGCCGGCTCCCGCAAATTGCGACGAGTGGCCGAACGGCGGAGGAAAAGAGCCGGCGAAAAGCGCAGTGCGCGTATATAGTCTAGGGGATGGAGGAAAAAAGGAAGCAAAGGGCGCTACGAGAGTGGTCCGAGAGAAAGAGAGAGTGTGCTCCCCCCCCTCCCCGCCGCTCGGGCGAAGAAAGCACTAACGCGGTCTGGGCAGGCCCCTTTAACGAATGCAATTAGCTGTCGCGGCTGCGGCTGCGGTACGCGGGATCATTTTTTCCCCTTCGGGCGTTATTTTATATCGCCCTGTGCCGTAAGTTCGTTCAAGCACGGGCGCTTGATTCGATTCGGAGATTGGAGGAAGGACGGAGTCGCACGACCGCGCTTAGGGCTAATCGATTTCCGTCTTTTTTTTCCCCTCCCCTCCCGCCCGTCGTTTCGCCGGGTACAGGATGTGGCAGTCCTTTTGTCGCCGATAGCGCTTTTCCTTTGGCTGTAGTTCGCGAGCGAAAATATTGAGAAATGTTCGGATATCCGTGTGATGATTAAAACACCTCGGAAATCGCCGCGTATATATAGAAAAATCAAAATACGACACGATTCAGGCTTTATGAAACTTTATTTAACAAGGCTTTACGTAAAGACGTATCTACGGTGATTGTCTAGATGGTTTTCTAAATTGCGAAGCGAAAGATTTTTCGATTTTTTACGTTTTATTTTTCTCGTTTGTAGATTTATAGTCTTATAAAGTATCTTTAGTTGTTTTGAAGTGCAACGTCACAAACAGCGAAATCGCATCAAGAAGGATAATTCCTGCTTATCTTTTTGCGCACCCATATAATCTTCAAGAAAAGCGATAATACGAGAAAAAAGTTAAGATCACATCGGTTTACGGCGCGCAAAAAAAAACATTATAAAAGTTGTTCAATGCCTCCCCAGGAAGTTCTTGTCCTCCACAAATTACAGCCGGCAGTGCTGTTGGGAAGAAAGATGGTCGTGGGTGTAAGTTGGGGTTAAAGTAGAAAGTAAAAAAAAAGAAAGGCATAGAATGTCACGCGAAAGAAACTCTTCCAGAATATTGTTATTATTAGAATCGCTCGTTCCTAAGGGAAGAAAAGACAAGTCCAATAAGTTGTCAGAATTTTACAAACGTGATTAGCAGTATAACTCATCGTTATTCGAGTATATATCTGATCTATAGAATATTTGATAAAGAACAAAGTTTCAGAACATAATTCTTGAACGAAGTTGAAGCTTTCGCGCAGAAATTTAGGCCGAGATATAAAGTATATTGTATTACAAAGTTTTACAACTTTGAAAATTAAATAATATTTAATGAATTAAGCTTTAAAGACGATAACGGCGAACGGAACGTTCCTCCAGATGATTTTAAGAGCACTTTATTTTCCAAGAAATTTAGTTTTAAGAGTTTCAGGATTAGTTTAAGTTTTTAAGCGGCCAAAATATTTAATGTGTTATAAAAATTTATGAGAAGAAGATTCGCACATTCGATCGAATTTATTCTAAAAGAAATTCCGTACTGATTAGCAAATTTACCTGCCTAAAGATTGCTGACAAAATTTAATTTTAATCCCGAGTAATCTTCCATGAAGAGAGACATTCAACGCGAGTCACGCTGCAGAAAGATGTCGAGTTCTGGCCTGGGAAGTAGCAAGCGAGTCCATGTATTCCACTCGCTCGTTGACAATAACGCAACAGGGATTTCAGAA